TATACATTAGTGCGATTGATACCGTTAATAATGATGATTTCTTAGGTGTTTTTCGGCTCTCATTTTTATGTGATTTTCTCTTCTATGGAACAGTTTTTTTTTTATGTATCTATTTTCCCCATTTATCAGATTGTTGTTGATGGAGTTAGTATGATACAAATGGGAACTGATTTCCAGCAACATACTGGAAAGTCTTATATTAGTTGTATGTCTTATGTCAAACCTGGAAAGTCTTATATTAGTTGTATGTCTTATGTCAAACTGCAAATTCTTATATTAGTTGTATGTCTTCTGTCAAACTGGAAAGCCTTATATTAGATGTATGTCTCATGTCAAACTGCAAATTCTTATATTAATTGTATGTCTTATGTCAAACTAGAAAGTTTTATATAAGTTGTATGTCTTATGTCAAACTGGAAAGTCTTATATTAGTTGTATGTCTTATGTCAAACTGGAAAGTCTTATTTTAGTTTAATGTCTATGTCTGAGTATTGTATATCTTTGCATATCCTTAACATATTTTCTTATTAAATTAACCTCACACTGAAACTATGTAGCAGTGTATAAATTTTATAAACTGACGATACATTTCTTCATGTATGACTTAATGCCATTATGTTTGTAGAGATATGCGAAGAGATGATCTAATGTTTTCGCAACTACTAAATCACCATTAATTTGTTTGCGTTCGTGATATATGATCCTAAAGAATATTGCATTTAAAAGGCATTTACGCTCTAATATTTTGTTAGAATTGTGTTTTTTTTATTGTATTCGTAAGCATACGTTGATTTCCTGAATGTACATATATAATCAGCAATGTACACAATGTACATTTATAATCAGCAATGTACACAATGATAAACTGTAAGCCGATTCCTATATGTTTTATAATTGTAAATTTAAAGCAAGTATTAATGTCTGTGACTTGAAAACGGCTAACTTGTAAGAGCAATTTACAACTCTAACTAAAATTTAGCACAAATTGCAAAACTTTGCCATATCGAATTCCTATACTGTTTTCTTCTTGCAAACCTCTCTCTTGATATTTCCATACTTAACTATTAAGACAATATGTGATAATGTTTCATACGCATTATTATTATTATTATTATTATTATTATTATTATTATTATTATTATTATTATTATTATTATTATTATTATTAATATTATTAATATTATTAATATTATTAATATTAATATTAATATTATTATTATTATTATTAGTATTATTAATATTATTAATATTAATATTAATAATATTATTATTATTATTATTATTATTATTATTATTATTATTATTATTATTATTATTATTATTATTATCATTACTTGTATTTACAGAGTATGACGTCGGTGAAGGACCGGTGAATGGCAATGGTGCTGGCCCCAGTCCTATCGCTGCAGCACCTGGGGGAACGACGAAGAGAGCTCGAACTGCCTACACTTCCGCTCAGTTGGTGGAGCTCGAGAAGGAATTCCATTTCAATCGATACCTCTGTAGACCGCGTAGAATTGAACTAGCTTCACTCCTTAGCTTATCTGAGAGACAAATTAAAATATGGTTCCAAAACCGGAGGATGAAGTACAAGAAAGAACAAAAAGCAAGGGGTCCAGATAAAAGTGAAAGTCCACCTTGCTCCTCTCCAGCTACCTCGATGCCTCCTACCTCACCTCCAACGAGTGAGATGCCATCCATCACTTCATCTGCTCAGTGTCACGTTAATGCATGCCGTGGAACTGGAATAAACTCAACCACTCATGGCTCTTCTATGAGGCTGGCGCACCATCAGGATGCTGGCCACTTTATGGCTCACAATCCCTCCAGTGTTACTGGCCCAGTCCAACATCATGGCTCAATTATGACATCCACACTGTCGAATTCACCGCATGGGGCAGTTCAGCACGTTTCGATTCCCCAGTACATGAGTCTTCCAAGTTATTCTCCAAATCTTAACATGCAAGAGATGATGACTCACCAGCCTGGTCCTCTGGGACAATTAGGTCAGCACATGCGCCAAACCACAGCTTGCTTGCAGCATTTAAGTTAAGATATATTTATCAACCACCCGGGCTTTCAGAGTTTAGCCATGGAAATCAGAACAGCTTGTGCTACGTCAAAGGAAGCAACTGATATCTATCCATCCTATGCAAAATATTTATTTCACAGGTGAACTTACTTGACTGCTGTTTTGTTTTCACATTTAATTTAAATTAAAAACGAACGACTGGTCAAAGAAAAGACTTCAGTCCAAATCAGTAAGATCTTAAGACTTGATTACACTTTTCCTGTATTACACAGTCGAGACAATTGTAAGATCTTAATCCTACATGCGATTAAAATGGGCAAATTGAAGCAGAATGTTGTTGAAATGTAGTTATTTTCCCTGTACTCTTAGGGAGCCTTGTATATTTTTAAGTAGCTATAATTAATATAATTATTATTATTGGATATTTTATGAAGTTTAAGATGCTGTTTCTACGATTACAAAATCCAACCGAATTAGTTTTGTGATTTCTGTAAGTATCCTCCTGTTGGAGAATGAAAATATAAACACGACAAGAATTATATATATATATATAACGGACTGTTTCATTCCACCCGAAATCTATTCTAAAATCAACAGCTGTCGTTAAAATGAATGTGTGTGTGTGTGTGTGTATGTAAAAGCCTAAGTGTATATATGTCTGCATGTAGCCCCCTTTATATCTAAGATCACGGTCGGACACCCATTCACAGTAGGACTGATAAATACATCAGTTACCCCTCCGCCTGGAGTGACGAGCAGCCAGCCCCTGGGACTGGCTTGACAGTCAGTTGTATTCAAAGGTTTACCAAAAGCTTTGCGTCATGTGTTTAATGTTTCATTATACCATGGTCAGTTTCCACATACTATCGCTCAGTGAGTGCAACCATAGTTTACTTCGATTTTTTCTCTGTGTTTGGGCCAGTATATAGCTCTTAATGTATAGTAATCCTTTTCTGTTCATTAGAAATACACTCAAGATACAGGAAAATATATGGGTACAACAGTTATTATTCAATAAAGTTAAATATATCACTTGAGCCGAAAGTGTGTGTGTGGGTAATGTCAACGTGTGATTGGCTGTGTCAGGGGGTGTGTCCTCATCCGTCATTGGTCGGCGATCCATCACTGGATAGAGACACTGGCTGACAGCAAATTTTTCGAATTGCTGGCCATGACTACGACTTCAACTGCATTACAAGTTAGCAATAATAAAGTTATTTTCCTTCACGCAACATTTATATAAAGAGTTTAAATTTAGATTTATTCCGCTGTTTGGGAATAGAAAAAAAAATCAAATGAAGCCGAAGTTAACCGAATTCACCCGAACCCACGGGCACCATCGAATGCAGATCGGCTGACTAGATACAATCCAAAGCTCAGAGAGTTATTAAAACTTTCAACTCCTGTGAATGGAATTTGATTTTCTAATGTCTGTGGAGTAACGAATAAGATAAGATGGGAAAAAAGGAATGAAGAAATTAAACTATTCCTTTATAATAAAACTAGAGGTACCCGGAATAATGAACTTGAAATTCACACACACACACACACACACACACACACACACACACACACACACACACACACACACACACATCCAGATCAGGTAAATGTCTATAACATACAACAATAACTTGTACTACCTGCCTCTGTTCCTGCTGCCTTGCAGGCGCACATGGGAGTGTGAAAAGCTTGGAAGTAGCCCCTGTGAGAAAATCAGGAGGGAGAGACCGAAGGCAACTGATGGGGGAAAAATGCTACACTCCACTTTCTGACACCTCTAGCAACGCTACTTGATTTCCAAACGTACTGACTATATCATTCTCTTGGAGCTAATCAGCAGCGTGTAGATGGGTGAAGTGTACACACACACACACACTCACACACACACACACACACACACACACACATACTAATATTATATAGATTATAACATCCATAAGCTCTGTAAAATTAATAAAAGGTACATTTATATATCGACATCTTCCAATAATAAAAAAATCTAATAATGGATACTCTCATGGACTTTTTATATATATATATAAACACATGGGCTCAGGGAATGAATTCGTTAAGAAATTGTTTCACTGTATTCCCATGTATCTACATACATACATACATACATGGTCTCATTCCCCCTTGTAAGAGGAGTGGCCGAGCCAAGAAACACTCATTCACAGTGCCTACCAAGAAATTAGGTGGCACTGGTATTTAATTTAATTTGTATCCCAAATGGCTCTAGAGGATATCCTCTCTCTCTCTCTCTCTCTCTCTCTCTCTCTCTCTCTCTCTATATATACTATATATATATATATATATATATATATATATATATATATATATATATATATATATATATATATATATATATATATATATATATATATATATATATAAATATGATTGTGAGCCAGGACGGGCAAAGAAAATCATAAAATAAAACAGCCCTCATCTGGCCTGGGCACGAAGAATACCTAAAGTAAAGAGAAACAGAAATGGAGAGTGTAATGATTTGCCAGCTGTGAAGGGATAATAAAAGATGCGTAATGAATATCCAAGAATATTTAGTGTAGCTGTAGGCATAGAAAAAGAACCGTAACTGAAGAAAGACTTAACATCGAACTGTCCTGGACAGTCCTACTTAAGTTCAGAAAACCTTATATAGGACTGTCCAGAACAGTTCGATGTTGAAAATGAATTGAAGGTTAGAGTACATTACACCAACGAATCAATATAATCCTAAACCTAACCTTAAATAATAGAAATTGTCACTAAGGGAATGCTTATGAGTTTGTATTCATTATTAAATGACCCATTTATTGAGTAATATTGTTAAGTGGAATCAATATCACCGAGGAAAACTTATCCGTAAAATTTTCAACAGCAAAAACATGTGATTGTGTGCACAATGAAATGAAAAGGACGTGTTCCGTTCTTGTACAAAACTCCGTATATAATGCTTGAAAGTGGTCGTCGTGGCCGGGTTGGTAGGGCCTACGACTTTGATTCGTCAGGTTGTCGGTTCGAGACCCGCCACGGTCTGAGGTTAGAAAAGGTATTCACTATTGGTAACGGTTGCACTGCCAAAACTAAAGTCCATCGCAAGAGGGCACCGTCCTAGCTCTTAATAGAAAAGGGAGTCCATGAAGGAAAACCTGATCATAAAATGCTTGAAGGCGATCATATTTTCTTATGACATCATAGACGTAGAGAAGAAATTTTGCATTTCAAAAATAATACAAATAATAGGTATATAAACAACTACAAAATAATGTATTCGATACCGTTAACAATATATGCATTAGACAATAACAGACTCATAAAAATAAAACAGCATTAAGATAAAAAATAATTTAAAGTCTTGTCTTACGAGGGGAAAAAATTAATTATCCATGCACGGCAAGGATCCAAGAGCTGCAATACCAGTTATACATTCAACACCAGTTATGCATTCAATACCAGTTTAGAATTGCACACATGCGTACACATACACACGTACACACATTGTTTTACTTTTTAAAGACATTAAAATTGTATAAATGTGCACTGTGCACAGAATAACACATGGACACACACAGAGCATTATTTATATATATATATATATATATATATATATATATATATATATATATATATATATATATATATATATATATATATATATATATATATATATATATATATATATATATATATATATATACATATACATATACATATACATATACATATACATATACATATACATATACATATACATATACATATATATATATATATATATATATATATATATATATATATATATATATATATATATATATATATATATATATATATATATATATATATATATATATATATATATATATATATATATATATATATATATATATATATATATATATATATATATATATATATATATATATATATATATATATATATATATATATATATATATATATATATATATATATATATATATATATATATATATATATATATATATAGATATATATATATATATATATATATATATATATATATATATATATATATATATATATATATATATATATATATATATATATATATATATAATATATATATATATATATATATATATATATATATATATATATATATATATATATATACATATATACATATATATATATATATATATATATATATATATATATATATATATATATATATATATATATATATATATATATATATATATATATATATATATATATATATATATATAGTCGCTTTTCATATCTAAGCTTCAGAGAGAAGTGACGCTACACATATGCCTGTTTTATCGATCTCATGTTGTGTTCATTGCACTTTAATATGAATAGCACGTGACATATGAATAAAAATGGTCTTCTACTGCCCCACTTGTTTTTCTCTACTAAATTTTCGAAGCATAAACACAAATTCTTTATAAATATAACACAAGCCGAAGGACGAACAGCACAGACAGAACTGAGGTTCGATAATGCGAATATACAATTCCTACTGTATATCTGCAAATATCATTTTGTAGAATCTGGTGTGTTGGCAATACCATGCGAGAGATGCCAATGACATCATTATATGCCTCAAGTCTTCAGATAAAGCAATAATAAATGAGTTATGCAAAAAAGTTACGCGTGTAGTATGCCGTGGCTCAAGCGGTAGCGTCCGCGACTTTGAGGCGTGAGGTCGTGGGTTCGCGCCCCGTCACGGCCTGAGGTTAGCAAGGGCATGCACTCAGGGTAACGATTACATCTGCCAAAACAAATCCTTAGCAAGAAGGCAACCATCCTAGCCCTTGCTAGAAAAGGGAGTCCGTGACGTAAAACCGGAACAGAAAAGTAAGGCGTGGCCTCCTAAGTGCCAGTTAGGCACTAATTCCCAGAGTAAAGATTTTTCCTGATAATTGAAAAGCAGCCAAACAAAAGAATATGGTTGAAATTAGGTAAAACAGTAACCTTTTGCTAAGCATCTTTAAGCATTCCATATAATCTAATAGAATATAAAAGAAATAGAATATTTTGTATAGAATGACAATCTAAACCATTGTACGAAAATTCTATATAATCTTATAGAATAAAAAAGGAATAGATTTTTTTCTATAGGAAAATGCTAAAAAATGTATAGACTGTGCAATCCAGTAGATTGGAAGCTTTACAGCGTCGTCATCTACAAGTGAAAGAGTTAAATTCCCTTCAATCAGGAATGGGATCTAATCCTCTGATGAAGGAGTTTAAATACTATCTCCTAAATACAAAATACAAGGGAAATTCTCCTTTTGTTTCTAAGGCTAGACCTGTTTCATCCTTTATAAAAAGGAATAACAGCTCTATTCCAGCGAGGGTGTTAAAACTCATTTGAAAGAAGACGATGAGAGGTGCCTCCGAAAGCCTTTTCCTTCTCTCAAGTTTTTTTTTCCAAGTGCAGAAACGAGGCTACAAATGAAAGTTAAAAATTTTGAGATAAAAATTCCATATAAAGAATAAGACGAACAAAGCTCAATGAAATGACTCACTTCCAAAATGAAGAGAGAAAAAAATATCAATTCCTTTCTTTTATTCTTATTCTGTTTCTTTCTGTCTTCTTTCGGCCGTTCTTCTCTCCCTCCTTCTTTCCAATTTTATCTCTCTACCTCCTCTCCAAACTCCAACCAACACAGAAGAAAAGTCAAGGCTTCTCTTCCTCTTTATTTCTATTTATCTGTTATTTTATTTTTCTTATTTTTTTTATTCTCTCTCCATTCGCCTCTTCTGTTTCCTCCACTTCTAAACCACCAAGAGAACAGAATCAAGAATTCTTCCTTTTGCTTTTTTTTTAAGTTAATTTTTTTATCTACTTTTTTGACTCTCTTCTGCCGAGGCTCTTTAATCTGAACGTGAAGTGTGTTGAGAAGGAGGAGAATAGGCCAATAAGTTGCTCTGATTCCGACAAATATCTTGGGAATGCCCGTCCCAAATCAGTTTTTATGCAAATCCCCCACGCATAAATACGTGGTGTGGGGTGGCTAGAGGGGTTAGGGACTTGGCTCTACCACCTTCGTCCTCCTGGTGAGGGGGTGCGGTGCCCCCCTTTCCTTGCACAGTAAAGCCCTTGCCGATCGTTTACTGTCCCTCCACTAAACCTCCCCTCCCACACCTCTTTCCCCATCAGCCCCTGTGCATGGGAATGACTAAAAATCACATACACACAACAGTATTGGATGGGACAAAGTGTGTGTGTGCGTGCGTGTGAATGTGCTTGCGTGTGACTATGTGAGTGTGTGTGTGTGAGGATGTGCGTGTGTGTGAGCATATATGTGTGTGATCATGTGTGTGCGTGTGTGTGTGTGTGTGTGTGTGTGTGTGTGTGTATACCGTTGTGATTTTGGAACTTTTTTCTTGTTTGTCGAGGACGGCTACCCTTCATTTCCTACATCACTCTCGTTATTATTATTATTATTATTATTATTATTATTATTATTATTATTATTATTATTATTATTATTATTATTATTATTAGTATTATTATTATTATTATCATTATTATTATTATTATTATTATTATTATTATTATTATTATTATTATTATTAGTATTATTATTATTATTATCATTATTATTATTATTATTATTATTATTATTATTATTATTATTATTATTATTATTATTATTATTATTATCATTTATTTATATGTTTATTTTGAGGAAATTTTTGTGTAGAAAAATGGTAATTGCAAGTTATGCGGCTTATACTGATAACAAAAAAAAAAAAAAAAAACACTGGGCTGGAGAAACACTTGCAACAGCTCTCTAGCGTAAAATTCATAATAATCATAAATCACTAATAATATTCTTGAAGTGATTAGTCTTGAAATACTTGACTGAAACACATATAGCTTTCTATTTGAAAATATGTCAGAGAAATTTGTAAAATGAAGAACTCATACATTACATATTTTGATTTAACATCGTATATATGATCTGATATATCAATGGAATTCTTCCATGCGTTTTATGTGTTAAAAAAAATTAATACTTAAATTCATTAGTATTTCAAGTGACAGTAAGAAAAAACAAGGTATTAATTTCGTCATCTGAATTCGAGGGTTAAAGACTAATAATAATAATAATAAAAAGAACTCATCTTTTTTTCTGATTGAAATTTCAATCTTATTTTTTTTCTTAATAAGCACATAGCTTCATAATCATTAAACACAATTTTAAATATGAATAAATTTGGTATCTTAAAAATATAATATAAGATAATAATAGACAAGAAGAGGCATATTTGAATCACAATAAAAATATCTTTTAACAATGAGAATATATTTACATCTGTTAGTCAGTTGTAGTCACCGTGGCTCAAGCGGTAGCGTCCGCGACTCTGAGGCGTCAGGGCGAGGGTTCGCGCCCCGCCACGGTCTGAGGTTAGCAAAGGGCATGCACTCAGGGTAACGATTACATCTGCCAAAAGCAAGTCTTTCGCAAGAAGGCAACTTAGTTGAAAAGGGTATCCGTGACGTAAAACCGGAACTTAATATGTCAATTTTTGTTCTCTACGCAAATTTGACATCATTGAATTAGCTTCGAAAACACTCCCTCGGTAACACTGAATCACTACTTTATTAAGTTTAATATGTTCAGGTATTACGTCACGGACTCATTTTTCTAGCAAGTGCTAGGACGGTTGCCTTCTTGAGAAGGACTTGTTTTTGGCAGATGTAATCCTTACCCTGAGTGCATGCCCTTGCTAACCTCAGACCGTGACGGGGCGCAAACCCTCGACCTGACAACTCAGAGTCGCGGACGCTATCGCTTGAGCCACGGTGACTAACTTTAATATATTGTTCTATATATCAATATTTTAAGGACAGTAAATAAAAAAAAATAGCAAGTTGAACTCACACGAGACGAAGTTCTACTCATTCTTGCCGAGAAGAGAATAAAGATGCAAGGAAGACTAAATTGACAAGAGGAGGATAAGAGAGGAAAGGAAGATATATAATCCATCAAAGCTGCAGCTAAGGAGGAGGAG